TAGCGCCCTTTTGTCAGGCATTAATCATCATTACTGTCAATTATGACTTAATGACGTAGGTCCCCTAGCTGATTAGCCTAGTAGCACACAAATGCTTTAGCAGTCACGCAAAACAAACACTCACAAATTATTATTCAATAAAATCTGAGAATGTATACTATTATCTGGATGTATTAGAAATAAATCATTGTCAAAATCATTCCATGAATTGGGGTAAAAAAATTATTCCACCATTATGACCAACAGTGTATATGGGACTATATACCCTAATCCATCCAGTCCGGATAAATATAATAATTTACCAAATATATCAACTAGTAATAGTAGGCGGTTTCCCGGCAAAATTTGTATCATCACGTATTTGTCAAAACAAATTCTTTCACATGATTGGTAATAAGAACTTACATTTCATTTTTTTGAGAGAGGGGCGTTTCCCAAACTGGTCTTTACCTTTAACCCAATCCGCAGTTATGCCATGCTCTCCCTTACTCCCTCGCTATCTTGTAGTACCTACAAACACTTCCGCATTTCTACCCCCCCTTTTTTTTATAAGTGTCCTATCGTTGTCTCTCCTCCTTTTCCTACACCACTCATTTTCTCTCTCATCCTTCTCATTGCGGTTATGTTTGGTCTCCTTTTATCTTATTAATACTCTAAAAAGTGACAAGAGTTATATCTGGCATGTGCGTGCATGTGTGTGTGTTTTAGGGCGAATGGGGAGAGAGAGAGAGAAAAAAAATACACGATGACATGTTCCTTTAATTTGTCTATTAATGGTTTGCAATCGCTAACCCTTGTCAGTCGTTGTGTGTAACAGTGTCTGCAATATGAGACTACAATAGACCATGTACTTGAGTCGCTTCTGACATGGCTCAAGGATTTAGAAGTCGGGATTAAGTGCTAAATTAGAGCCTGTGCTTGCAGATTAAAGATACTATGTTCCTTCTGCAGCCAACATCAAATTCTGTAGAACTTTGCAGGAATTATTGATATGTCATGTATGTCCTATCTGTGAAATTTAAACATTAGCATTGTCCTAGTATTCAAAGTATGCAAGGAAACTCGTTTATCTTATAGACTTCACTGTCAGACACTGTTGAGTGACTAACTGACGTGTTCTTTCTTTGATAATAACATACATAAAATGAGCTGTAACAGGTTAATGAGTATTTGTCTACATCAACAACCCACTACTTGTAATGGCCAAAATTAAAGTGATGGAATCTTTGTGTAGCACGAAACGTAAAACCATTCGGTGAAAGGGTCTAGAAATCAGACTATTTAGCTCTATAGCTCTTAAGTCGATTCGATAACTAATAGTCGTTATTTTCCCATTTAAAGACATTTTCAAGCCCCCCTTTTTTTAGGGAGTTCTAAATTAGTATTATCTTTCAAATGCCGTTGGAATTTAACCTTTTCATTTGTTGGGCCTGCAGCGTTGGTCCAGTATGCTCAACGAACGAGTAACGAATGATAACGCACACTTAGCGAACGACAATGCACTGGCCAAGATTGCAAATTTCTAATGCGTTGGCCGTGCGTCTCCCATGCGTCCCCAATGTGTGACCAGGCCTTTAGCTTATGTGGAAATCCTTCTTCATGATTGCTTTATGGTAATGATACAATTTAAGTACTTGATTTTGATGATGTATTAAATATATATTTGTTTATTATAATGATTATGTTGTAAATATTTTGTAATTTTGAAAAAAGAAAATGAGGAGAAATGAATTATTAAACTCAAATCAAATCAAATGATTGTACAAAGGCATGCTTTTGCTTTAAGTATAACAGAGGGACAAAAACAAAATTATCAATTAAGAAGTGATGCTCACTTCAATTTACCAAATACCTTAATGTTCACATAGATCTCGTTACACGATTCTGCATAATATTGCACCAGGTTTTAACAATCAAATTTTTGTTATGGTATGGCACAGATGCGTGCCAGTGAAATATCCGAAGTACAAAGGATATCCCGGGTTACATAGGTCAACAAAACAATTTTTTTAAACGGGAAAACCCCCATATTAGCTGTTCGGTTTTACATCCCTCACAAGTATGGGTGAGAGGGTTGGGTTGGGGGTGGGCAATTAAACCAGTCCACTTCATTATAAATGTCAAATAGGGGTAATTAGAATGAAACTGATATGATATAATTGCTATCATTGAATCGTTATACAAATAGTTATGAAAAGTTGTTTATTCAACCCTTATGCATGAATCGCCACATGTATATTCTCGCTATTGTCCTCCTCGCCCTAACCCCACCCCTCTCTCTATCTCTCTCTCTCTCTCTCTCTCATCTCCCTGCTCATTCTCTATATCTCCTCTTCTCTTTCTCTTTTTCTCTTTCTCCCCCTTTGCCTCCCCTCTCTCTCTCTCTCTCTCTTTCTCTCCCCCTTTCTGCTTCTCCCCTTTCTCTTTCTATTTCTCTCTCCTCTCCCTCTCCTTTTCTTTGCCCAAATCTCCTCTATATTATCTTTATTCAATAAGTATAGCTGCCAGACTTTGATATGACTATTTCTGTTCTGATGTTTGGTTTAGTTTGCTCCTCACTTTTCAAAATTCTCCACGGAAGAAATGCCCCCTTTGGTTTATTTTTATTACACTCAAGTCCGTAATATAAATAGGCCTTGCTTCCCGGAAAGAAATCAAGAGCCTGCGATTCTGAAGCCCTCGTGAAAACAACAGACTTCTCGTTATCCTGTTATTGAGTTAGGAAGAGATTACAATCTCCCCGGTAGTGAATCCTGGCATTGTGCCCGTAATAAGCATGCAACTTGAGAAGAAAGGGAAAGTTAGAATGTCGTTTTTTTTGTATTAAATCCCACTGTTCAATTAACTCAAATCGTCTCTATCCATTGTAAAATCAACACTTATAAAAATCAATGACAAATTGAAAATGAAAGTGGCGGGATCATACAAAGCAAAGAAACACCAAAAAACTTGCTTGTAACGACCCTTTCATAGCAGATGTATAAAATCAAACTGAGAAAGTATCAAATAATTGATACACCTAATATACATGTAGGCTTATTCATTTCTACTTGAAAGTCTTAAATTTCTTTCACATCTTGTCCTCTTCACAATAAAATGCTATTATCAGTTCTGCCCGACTGAAAATACAATGGCGTGTTACTTTGTCAAAGGCCAGGTCAAACAGGGGGGACGCATGGGGGACGCACGGCCAGCGCATTGGGAATTTGCAATTTTGGCCAGTGCTTTGTCGTTCGCTAGGTGTGCGTCATCATTCGTTACTCGTTCGGCGAGCGCGCTGGACCAACCCCGGACGCGTTATTTTTTTCTGCGGCAAAGATTCGGGCTTTTTTTTAAAAAAGGTGTCGTGATTTACAGACTAATAGTGGTCGTGTGCGTACTAGTAGTAGAGGTCTGTCTTTAGTAGTGTTACGTGTAATCCTCTCCGGAATCCACTACCGTATGGAAGATCATTACATCAACAATTAAAACGAAATTGGAAATCTGAAGAGGAAGCAGCACGTCAATAAAGAGAACATCACAATAATTAGTCAATAAAACTTAACTAACTTAAACGAAGAGGAATGTTATCTAAACACATAGTTCGCGATGGATTCGTTGTCATTCGCTGTGTATGTCGGGATTTTTTAAGCATGCTCAAAAGTGTGCGCGGAGCTCGACACATGAATGTACGCGCTAACAGGACGCCAGACATGCGCGGAGCGCGCTAGACCAACGCCAGACCAACGCCAGACATAAGTGGAGCACACACCCTGTATACGCACAGTGCGCTAGCAATACGCTATGCATTCGGTGTCAGCTCGCTAGCTTCTCGCAAATCCTATCAAAAGTATGACCGGGCCTTTAAGGCCCGATCACACATAGGGGCGCATGGGGAACGCACGACCGGTGCATTGAAAATCGGAAAAAAGTCGTAAGCCCGACTTTTGTCAGGATTTGGGAGAAGCTAGCGAGTTGACACCAAATGCACAGCGTGTTGCCAGCGCGCTGCGCGTATACAGGGCGTTTACTCCGCGTATGTCTGGCGTTGGTTTAGTACGCTCCGCGCATTCCTGGCGTTCTTCCGGCTTATACATATGCGTCGAGCTCCGCCCACACTCCTGAGCATGCTCAAAAAATCCTGACGCACACAGCCAATGACGACGAGTGCATAGCGTTGGTCCAGCATTGGTCCAGCGCGCTCAACGAACGAGTAACGAACGACAAAATCACAAATTTCCAATGCACTGGCTGTGCGTCCCCCATGCGTCCCCTATGTGTGACCGGGCCTTTACAAGCGATAGATTCTTTCTTTTTTATCGCTGCATTTTCATCAAAATAATACCATGCGTGGGGCTTAGAGGGAGGAAACAGATTAAACATTTAGCCTGATGGTAGTGAAGTAAGCGAAATAGCTGAATTAAAGATGACAAAACAGGCAGTGAAAATGTGTGGGATGTCATGGAACATCGTCTGCTTGTGCAAAAAATGTTTGCTCACAAGAGTTTGATGTTTTTTTTTTTTTTCGGGGGGGGGGGGAGGGGCACATACATCGATCGACGTCCTGGGGAGGGGTCTAAAAAAGTTCAACCGATCTTGGAAATTTGTTAGGGGCACGTGCCCCTCCGTGCCCCCCCCCCCTCCCCTGGCTACGTGCCTGAACATTTGACGTCACACATCTCAACAGCGTTCAGAGAGCTCTTCAGGTGCTATGCCGGGGCTGTATTTAAATGTTTTGTAATTGATAATAATCATTACTTCAAATCTTTCCAAGTATTTAATTTTGACAACCTTGTTCAATCAAATGTTCACCTTTGCAATAATGACAAAAAAGTTAGTTTTTAAAATCAACGAACCTCCTCTTTAAGCACTTCAAACCAATGCATGGAAATAAAGCAATACATCATAGTGATATAACGATATATGACAACATATGATTCCCCGTATTTTGATTGACACATTCTCCTATGATATTCATCCAATCAGCACTCTCAATCTTCGAGCACCGTTCAGAGCGTGACCACGCCCATTCTGAACATTTATAAATACAGTTCCTTTCTTTACAAGTGGAACTTGAAAGGTGGTATCGGATCAAGAGTCCAGTAGATTGACGAGCAATGGAGGAAAAGAGTTCTCACTATATTGTCCTGTTCATAGGACTGTTTCTTTGCCTGTTAAACAGTGGCGGTAAGTGGGTTATTACGATCTTTTTAAGACTTATACCATACGACGTGGCCAATTGCATATTAGTTCATACATTTTGAGCATGCGCACCCCGTCCCTCATTCCATGTCTAATATGCCGTATAAACAGTGCGTCCCAGAAAAAAACGAAACCGAGATTCATCGATGTTTTATCATAACGAAATTAACAAAAGACTTAACTCCGTTTCGTTGACAATCAGCCGTAGACGAAAGACTTCATGCATGGCTGATTGTCAACGAAACGGAGTTAAGCCTTTGTCAATTCTGCTTGCTGCTACAACAGTCAGCCAGTAAAAACGAATTCGTTTGATAAAGTTATGGAAATGCAAGCACTACTTCAAACAAACAGAACGTTGTCTGTCATTCCTTGCTCATTTTTCCTGATTGAGATGTCACATGAAAGGCCAGAAACTCAACTTTCTATAAATGTGATTTTCTTTTTGAAATTCAGATACCGTCCTCCAAATGACTTTTTGGTTTCCTCTCTTCAAATGCATCGAATGAGTTGCATCAAATGAAGAAGAGGATCTAAGCTTTTCTAAAAATGTGTCATTTATTAATTATAAATGTGACTAAATTATGATAAAACATCGATAATTCTCAGTTTCGTTTTTTCTGGGACGCACTGTATACAGGGGGCCATATGGATTCCACGAAATAAATATTATAATTTCCATTAAATCCATGAAATTACCAACACTATCGTATAGTGGTATAGTGCTGATGGTGAAGTTGGTAGTGGTTATGGTGGTGATGTTGATGGTTGTAGTTGTTTTAAAGGTGGTGGTGATGATAGTGTACGTAGTCGGAATGGTGATGATGATGGTGGTGGTGATGGTGGTGATGGTGATGGTGGTACTGATGGTGTACATGTAAATCTCACTCTTTGATTACTATCTTTGCAGCGCATACAGGGACATATGGCTTATGCCGAAAGAGTGGGTAGCTTCGCGTTGCGTCGCGTTGACTTGAACGCGACCATTCGTCCAAAGCCCCCCCCCCCCCCCGTTGTGCCGAAAGTTTTATTTAATTTTTAATCTGTTTCTATTTTGATTATTTTAGTTAAAACAACTTAAATTCTATTCCTTAATTTCTATTATAAACGAGTGATGTGGAAGACTAGTCAACGCACCCTTTCGGCAAAACCGGGGGGGGGGGGCTTTGGACGAATGGTCGCGTTCAAGTCAACGCGACGCGACGCTACCCACCCTTTCGGCATAAGCTGGGAAATACTGATGAAATGCGCTATTAATTATTATCTGCTTAATCCTGTCTTAATCAGGGGTATCATCGAGCTGCGATAACATCAATGAGATTGATTTTGCGGAATTCACGTATGAACCGGAAGGTTTAGCACCTCACCCTGAAGGGACTGTTGCACTTATCGAGTGTGGTGTCTTGTATCAGATCGTGCCCACGGCTTTTGAGAGAACAACATGCACCAATGGATCGTGGACAGGACCGTTGCCCCGATGCAGACATGTTCGTAAGTAGATCATGAAAGTCTAGGTAGGGGCATTGTACCAGTTGCGGACGTGTTCGTAGGAAGATCGTGAAAGTCTGACATGGACGTGGCCCATCACGACAGACATGCATGTTTGTACGTAGAGCATGAAAGTCTGGACAAGGGCTTGATCCCCGTTGCGGACGTGTTTGTCAAGCCATGGTCTCATCCGACCCACGTAGGGCAGTACATTTTTAAATGTGGCCATTTTTTTCTACATGGGCAAATTTGACCTCGGAGTGGTCACATGATCACCTGCGTCCGGTCCACGTAGAAAACTCATTTTTTCGAGGTGTTCTCATGGGCAGTACGTGGTACGGTGGACTAAATAGGTCCGATAAAACGAAGACTGGTGCACAAATCCTTTTCTGTAACTTGTATACCCTGCAAATAACGAAGAAAAGTTGCAAGTACTATACCCATGTACCCCCACAGGCCCCCTACGCACCAGCCATGCACCAGCCACGCACCAGCTATGCGATAGCCGCCATAAATCCATGTCCATTTTTTCTCCACGTAGGAAAATGAAGGCGCGCGGAGGTCAGGTACGTAGCTTCAAATCACTTGATTAGTGCGCACAGTCCACGTCCCCCCCCCCCCCCCCAATCTCTACGTGGACCCCTCCCTACGCCCACGCGGGTCGGATGATACCATGGCTTAAGTACTCCTGGGTGCATCAAGTTACTCTGGACAAGGGCTTGGCTCAATTATGTTGTAGAGTCACTATTGCAGGAGATGTCCGTCATTTCGTTAAGTATGAGTAAGAATGAGGAATTTTTGAAAGGGCTTAAACCAAGTGTGTGGATCTTAGATCACGGTAAATATATATATACACTGTCGCTCATATAGTTCGAATATTTTTTTTTACCCCAATTAAGGAATTATTTTGACAATGATTTAATCCTAATAGATCTAGATAATAGTATACATTCTCAGATTTTATTGAATAATAATTTGCCAGTGTTTGTTTTGCGTGACTGCTAAAGCATGTGTATGCTACTATGCTTATCAACTAGGGGACCTACGCCCTTAAGTCATAAATGACAGTAATGAGGATTAATGCCCCACAAAAGGGCACTAATATGGCACATCGACACGGTTTTGATCCTGGGGGCTCACAGTTACGAGGCCATTACTTTGCCACTGAACCATGACTGTACGCAGCGGGGACTTGGGTAGGGGGCAGTACCCCCCCCCCTCCAAAAAAAAAAAAAAAAAAAAAAAAAACAGAAAATGCAATAAATTTTCAACAATTCATTGAATTTTTCCCGGTACCCAACATAAAAAAAATCCTCTGTACGACCATGCATTATGGCTCAAGGCATGGTCACACAGAAAAAAAAATATGTTGGGGACCGGGGCAAATTCAATAAATGTATTGCATTTTCTGTTTTTTTTTATTTGATAAGCATAGTAGCTTACACATGCTTCAGCAGACACGCTAAACAAACACTGCCAAATTATTATTCATTAAAATCTGAGAATGTATACTATTATCTCAATCTATTAGGAATAAATCATTGTCAAAATAATTCCATAAATTGAGGTAAAACTATATGAGCGACGGTGTATATAAAATTATATATGCATATTATGTCATTTCGTCTTTTTTTCACAAACCATGATTAGAAAAACGTGTTATTAATATAACATATAATACATAAATCTGGTGGTATAGAAAGTACGAAATTGCATTGAACAATCTAATAATTGTTCGATGCAATTTTGTACTTTCTATATCACCAGATTTATGTATTTTATGTGATATTAATAACATATTTGTCTAATCATGGTTTGTGAAATAAAGACGAAATGACATAATATGCATATATAATGTACCCCCTACTATTCATTTGGCCAATATTTTATGAATTACTTTAAAGGAATTCAAACAATATTGGCCAAATAAATAGTAGGGGGTAAATGATATTTTGTTCTACAATAGAAATAGTTTGCGAGGCACACCTAAAAAAGCCCAGACGCCTGCGCGCAATTATGTAGATCATGTAAAACAGATGGTGGTGAATAAAGAATAAGAACACAGTTAAGGTTGGAGTATTAATATAAAAGGCTAGATTTTATTTATTTTTTCATTATTTTGTCCTAAATCAGCGAGAAATTGTCAACGTCATAAAGGCTTGGTCCAGATCTACGGACGGGATTGTCAGACCCGATGCAGGAACCGTCTTGAGGGGGGTTGTACTGGAGACAGGCGATGTCATTGCGACGGGGTGTGTGGGTGGAGTTGTATTTCAATTTGTAAGTACTGACCGCTTCTCGTCAATATCTAAATCAACCGTTCAAAACTATTTGAAATACATGTAACTAAAATAAAAGAGAACAATATGTGTATCGACTGTAATTTACAACAAACGGAATTTTGGGCATACTATCAGGACTACCTTTATAGTAGAAAAAAAATACGATAAAATGACATTTGAAAAATGACATTGTCATAATGTGGCACAAGATAATTATACTCAAATTCTTATAAACTCTGCTCTATTTCCGTCTGTTATAATAATAGGCATTCTCCGCTGTCCTACATTGGTTTACAAACCTGGATCTATCCAAATACCTGAGTTATATTTGTTGAAGTATATTTTAAGAGCCAAGCCTATCAAACCTAGACCAAGTATTTTCTTTTACAAATAATGTTATAGTCCTCGGTGAATTTAACTCCAACATGCTGAATATAAATACCCTTTCAAGGTGCATGAACTTTGTTCCACCTTTCAGTTAACTCAGCATATCCGAGAACCAACAAGAATAACTCCTTTCAGCAGTACTTTAATTGACGTTGTTTGTGTTCAATGCTATCTGGAACAATTTCAAGTGGACTTGACCACTCCCTAGTCTATTTGATCCTTGGACATAATACCCCAAAAGCTAAGCCCGATCTTTTCATTTAGATCGTTTAGGCATTTTGTCGTCGAAGATTTTGTCGAAGACCTATGTAACATACAATGGAATGATCTATTATTTCTCCGAAGAGGACGTAGAGTATTGCTGGGATAAATTCAGTGAAGCATTCAAGGCATTAGCTGATAAACATGCTCCCCATGTTACAGTAAGAAAGAAACTGAATGGGTCTCCCTGGATTACAACTGAATATCTGGCCCTATCTAGGGATCGTGACTATTATAAAAGAAAGTTTGACAAACTTAAAAAATCAGCCGAAGTAGGTCAGGAAATCAATGAACTTTGGAATAAAGATAAATATCTCAGAAATAAAGTAAATATCTTAAATAAAAAGCTGAAAAGGGACTTTTTTTGCAAAAAATTTCAACAATGTGCAAACAAATTGCAAAATTCGTGGAAAGTCCTGACAAAATTACCCCCGAGGCAAAAGCTATCAGTTAATCCGAATATTAACACAGGAACTCAAATGACTTCAGATAAGGTAGAAATTGCAAAGTCGTTCAATGAATTGTTTGTTAGTGTTGGAAAACGACATTCCCCTCTTAACCAACAAAGTTTTAATTCCTTGAATACATTATCAAGGGTTGAATCAACGTTTAAATTCAAAAGCATAGACTCGGAGTTTGTAAAAAGAGAACTTGGGAAAATTGATGTTAACAAAGCTGTTGGTCTGGATGACTTACATCCAAGATTATTGAAAATCGCTGCTCCTTTTTATAGCTGAACCACTTTCAATAGTCTTTAACAAATCTCTAAGCTCAGGATGCTTCCCAAGTGATTTCAAAAGAGCCAAGATTATTCCAGTACCCAAAAGTAGTGAAACAAGTGCCATTGTCAATTATAGGCCAATTTCTTTATTGTTCTGTCTGTCAAAGATGGTCAGTCCATGCCCATGAGTATCTTGAAGAATACAAACTGCTATCTCAGCGCCAATCGGGTTTTCACCCAAAGCATTCAACTGCGACTTGTCTAATTGAAATAACCGATTACTTGTTAAATAATATTGACTGTGGTTTGATAACAGGGGCGATATTCCTTGATCTCAAAAAGGCGTTTGATGTTATATCTCACGAAATATTGTTATTAAAAATCCAATATTATGGTATTAATTCTGTTGAATCAGACTGGTTCTCTTCATACCTAACGAATAGGCAACAATGCGTCTCATTTCAAGGTGTCCAAAGCAATTTTCTACAGATTTACTCTGGTGTACCCCAAAGGTCTATTTTGGGCTTATGCCGAAAGGGTCGGTAGCGTCGCGTCGCGGCGCGTTGACTTGAACGCGACCATTCGTCCAAAGCCACCCCCCCCCCCGGTTTGGCCGAAAGGGTGCGTTGACTAGTCTTCCACATCAGTCGTTTATAATAGAATTTAAGGAATAGAAATTTAAGTCGTTTAAATTCAAATAATCAAAATAGAAACAGATAAATAATTAAATCAAACTAGTTTTACGTAGTCTTACAGATTAGGCGTTTATAATAGTTAAGTCAATAAAAAGCAAGAAACTAAATCAAATAATTTACTATGATATCTAAAATGTCTAATAAAAGTGTTTACCTAGTTTTGCATATCAGTTGTTTATTTATTAAAATAACGAAAAATAATATCCATTTCTTTCTATGTATGGAATTCAGAAAGCCCCCCCCCCCCCCCCCCCGCCCGCTTATCCCGAAAGGGTCCATTAAGGTGGTAGGCCTACTCCGTTATTTATTTATTAATTTGTTATTTCATTTTTAAAGACCGTTAAGCATGATTAGTTTACATCAAAAAAGAATTATATACATAGAAAGAAATGGATATTATTTTCATTTGGCCTTTTAAAAATATTTATTGAATTCATTAATTGATGTGATTTTTATAAACGCCTGATTTGCAAGATTACGTAAAAACTAGTTTTATTTAATTTTGAATCTGTTTCTATCTTGATTATTTGAATTTAAACGACTTATATTACTATTCCGTAAATTCTATTATAAACGACTGATGTGGTGGACTAGTCAACGCACCCTTTCGGCCAAACCGGGGGGGGGGGGGAGGCTTTGGAAGAATAGTCGCGTTCGACGCGACACGACACTCCCAACGCACCCTTTTGGTCAAACCGGGGGGCTTTGGGCTAATGGTCGCGTTCAAGTCAACGCGCCGCGACGCGACGCTACCCACCCTTTCGGCATAAGCCTTTATTTTAGAGACATTCAAAAGTAAACTTAAGACTTATCTGTTTAATATGTAATGTAATGTAATCATATCTTGTTTGTTTAACTATAAAGTGTTATGTAAATATTAACTATTATTATTGTATGATTGTTATTAGGAATTTGTTATTATAATAATGTATCATGTATTATATTCTTGTAATTTGTAGGTTAACATTACTTTAATTAAATTTTTTGTTAAGCGCTTAGAAACTTTGTATTAAGCGCTATATAAATTTAATTTATTATTATTATCATTATTATTATAATTTATTATTTTTGGCCCACTCATTTTTTGCTTATTTCTTAATGATTTGTGTAACTTGAAATTTAGTAAACAAACCAAAATTGCTTTGTACACTGATGACACGGCACTATTTTGTAAAGGTAACAATTTAAAAAGCAGTCATAAGAAACTACAAAAACATTATGATTTACTGCGTAAATGGTTTGAAATAAATAATATAGAAATAAATGCAAAGAAAAATAATGTGATGGTCTTTGGAACGAAACATAAAACTAAGAACCAAATTTTGAAAATCTGTCATGGACGTGACTATCTTGAGAATGTTACCGAGATCAAATAATTAGGCGTAACCCTTGACCAAAGTCTAAGTTGGACACCACACATTTGTCTCAAAGAAATTTAATTGGTCACAAGTGTTTTTGCTTGGGTATAGTTGGTGGCCTTTTACTTGAAGCGATATCATTCTTTTACACCTCTCACCTTCCCATTTGCAATACGATTCGGGGGTGGGTGGATGGGGTCCCGTGCCTCCCAATCCACTCACCGTGCTTAAGAGCGTGTATTCTTAGGTAATCTTTATTTTCTTATTTATTTATTCGGTTTTATTTAAAAACAGGGTAGTCTTTTCAGTGCCAAAGGCCTGCTTTACAAAAGAGCCCTGTACATACATAGATTTACAAAAAATAGAATACATTGCAGAAAACAAAGACATTATATAAACAACATACCATAAGAGATTGAAAGAAAAAAAACTTAAACAACTTGCACTTGGATTCGTTGAAAGGTAGCTGCCATCTTTTTGACCATTCCATCAGAGGATCAATATCATGTTGCAATTTGTTGACATCCGCAGTACCCGTTTCATTTTCAAATACTTTGGTGTCATAGGCAAACAGCGCAACACTAGAGTTTACTGCTACAGGAAGGTCGTTAATATAGATGAGGAACAAGATCGGGGCGAGCACAGACCCTTGCGGAATGACACTTGTTACATTTTCCATGATGATTGGGCTCCATCTACTCTAACTCTTTGAGTTCTACCTGTCAATAGGGCTTTAATCCACTTGGAGAAATTTCCTCTAATTCGATACGCTTCAATCTTTGCAATCAGCATCTTGTGAGGGCAGGGGCGTAAATCCGTACCGAGGAGTGGGGGGGGGGGGAGATGATCGGCGATAGCCATCACATACTAGCAGGAGCACACGCCCACACTAATTTACGCAAGCGCGCGCGATCGCGCACGCACAAAACACAACACACACACACACACACACGCACACACACACACGCTCGCTCATTAAGGGTGTGTGGGTGATAGGCAGCTTAGACGTTTCCTTAAATTATTAGTAAAAGAAGACGATTTATTGTCCCGTTCTCTACTGTTAACCCTTGTCTGAATGAATCCCCTCCCCCCTCCCGCGCAAAGCGCGAAAGCTTTGGCGTTTCTTTAAATTATTATAAAAAGGAGACGATTTGCTGTACCGTTCTCGACTGTAAATCCTTGTCTGAATTCAGTTCCCCCCCCCTCCCCCCCCCATACGCGCGGAATTTTTGGCGTTTCATTAAATTATAAGAGAAAGTAGACGATTTGTTAAACCGTGCTCGACTCTTAATCTTTGTCTGAATTCGGTTTACCCCTCCAGCGCAAAGCGCGGAAGTTTTGACGTTTCATTAAATTATTAGAGAAAGCAGACGATTGGGTGTACTGTTCTCGACTCTTAATTCCCGTCTGAATTCAGTTTCCCTTTCCTGCGCAAAGCGCGAAAAGCTTAGACGTTTGATTTAATTATTATAGGAAGAAGACGATTCGTTGCACCGTTTTCGACTCTTAATAAGCCCTAATTATCTGAATTCAGTTTCCCCCTCTCGCGCGAAGCGCGGAAGCCTTGACATTTCCGTAAACTATTAGAGAAAGCAGACAATTGAGTGTACTGTTTTCGACTCTTAATTCTCGTCTGAATTCAGTTTCCCCTTCCCGCGCGAAGCGTGATAAGGTTAGACGTTTGATTTAATTATTATAGAAAGAAGACGATTCGTTGCACCGTTTTCGACTCTTAATAAGCCCTATTCATCTGAATTAAGTTTCCCCCTCTCGCGTGTAGGCTATACATATACAAAATAACTCATTTCTCATGCATTATGCTGCAATTGAAACAATCACATTTTTTCCTTCTTCTTCTTCCTTTTTTTCCTCTTTTTTTTTGGTAATATCAGGGGTGGGGTGATTGTACAGGCCATCCCCCCTACTTCAAACCAGGGGGGGGATGCAGCCCCCCCCCCCATCCCCCCGGGATTTACGCCCCTGTGTGAGGGACACTGTCAAAAGCTTTTAAAAAAATCTAGGTAAAGGCAGTCAAATGGTATTGAAAGGTCTTCAAGTTGTTACCTTCTCCCTGAGAGCATTTTCTTTCCCTTTCCTACTTTCATCGGCCTCTCTTTTTGTCTTGATGAGATCTTTGTTGAGTTCATCCACCGTCCTCTTCTCTTCCTGGAGCAATCTCTGCATGTCATCGAAGGATGCGGCCCGCTCCATCTAGTATAGATCGTTAATGATCAATACTACATAATTGAAACTTGACAAATTGAGCGGAGCATTTTATAAGATAATATGAAATCGTGAAAATCGTGAAAATAAATGTAAATTATTTACGACTACATATCACCTAATTTGTCAAGAGACGAATTCAAGTCTAGTTTTATTTTGATTTCATCATTTCTCCTCAGCTATACAGTGTCATCGACTCGAAACACCACCGCACGCTCTCCCCGGACCGTGCTCTCCTCCTTACAACACCGGCAAGATGTGCACATATTCCTGCATGGCAGGATACACGAAGATTGGAGGAGATAACAGGAGAATATGTGACGAGCATGGTGAATGGATTGGGATTCCCATACGCTGTGAACGGGGTTAGTTTTTCAATCCCTAATCATCGATACGCTTCAATCTTTGCAATCAGCATCTTGTGAGGGCAGGGGCGTAAATCCGTACCGAGGAGGAGGGGGGGGGGGGGGGGGAGATGATCGGCGATAGCCATCACATACTAGCAGAAGCACACGCCCACACTAATTTACGCAAGCGCGCGCGATCGCGCACGCACAAACACACAACACACACACACACACACACACACACACGCACACACACACACGCTCGCTCATTAAGGGTGTGTGGGTGATAGGCAGCTTAGACGTTTCCTTAAATTATTAGTAAAAGAAGACGATTTATTGTCCCGTTCTCTACTGTTAACCCTTGTCTGAATGAATCCCCTCCCCCCTCCCGCGCAAAGCGCGAAAGCTTTGGCGTTTCTTTAAATTATTATAAAAAGGAGACGATTTGCTGTACCGTTCTCGACTGTAAATCCTTGTCTGAATTCAGTTCCCCCCTCCCCCCCATACGCGCGGAATTTTTGGCGTTTCATTAAATTATAAAAGAAAGTAGACGATTTGTTAAACCGTGCTCGACTCTTAATCTTTGTCTGAATTCGGTTTACCCCTCCAGCGCAAAGCGCGGAAGTTTTGACGTTTCATTAAATTATTAGAGAAAGCAGACGATTGGGTGTACGGTTCTCGACTCTCAATTCTCGTCTGAATTCAGTTTCCCCTCCCGCGCGAAGCGCGAAAAGCCTTGACGTTTGATTTAATTATTATAGAAAGAAGACGATTCGTTGTACCGTTTTCGACTCTTAATAAGCCCTATTTATCTGAATTCAGTTTCCCCCTCTCGCGCGAAGCGCGGAAGCCTTGGCGTTTCCTTAAATTATTAGAGAAAGCAGACGATTGGGTGTACGGTTCTCGACTCTCAATTCTCGTCTGAATTCAGTTTCCCCTCCCGCGCGAAGCGCGAAAAGCCTTGACGTTTGATTTAATTATTATAGAAAGAAGACGATTCGTTGCGCAGTTTTCGACTCTTAATGAGCCCTATTTATCTGAATTCAGTTTCCCCCTCTCGCGCGAAGCGCGGAAGCCTTGACGTTTCCTTAAATTATAAGAGAAAGCGGACGATTGGGTGTACTGTTCTCGACTCTCAATTCTCGTCTGAATTCAGTTTCCCCTCCCGCGCGAAGCGCGAAAAGCTTAGACGTTTGATTTAATTATTATAGGAAGAAGACGATTCGTTGCACCGTTTTCGACTCTTAATAATCTCTATTTATCTGAATTCAGTTTCCCCTTCTCGCGCGAAGCGCGGAAGCCTTGACGTTTCCTTAAACTATTAGAGAGAGCAGACGATTAAGTGTACTATTTTCGACTTTAAATCCTTGTCTGAATTCGGTTTACCCCTCCCGCGCAAAGCGCGGAAGTTTTGACGTTTCATTAAATTATTAGAGAAAGCAGACGATTGGGTGTACTGTTCTCGACTCTTAATTCCCGTCTGAATTCAGTTTCCCTTTCCTGCGCAAAGCGCGAAAAGCTTAGACGTTTGATTTAATTATTATAGGAAGAAGACGATTCGTTGCTTTTTCGACCCTTAATAAGCCCTATTCATCTGAATTAAGTTTCCCCCTCTCGCGTGTAGGCTATAAATATACAAAATAACTCATTTCTCATGCATTATGCTGCAATTGAAACAATCACATTTTTTTCTTCTTCTTCTTCCTTTTTTTTCCTCTCTTTTTTTGGTAATATCAGGGGTGGGGTGATTGTACAGGCCATCCCCCCCTACTTCAAACCAGGGGGGGGGGGATGCAGCCCCCCCCCATCCCCCGGGATTTACGCCCCTGTGTGAGGGACACTGTCAAAAGCTTTTAAAAAAAATCTAGGTAAAGGCAGTCAAATGGTATTGAAAGGTCTTCAAGTTGTTACCTTCTCCCTGAGAGCATTTTCTTTCCCTTTCCTACTTTCATCGGCCTCTCTTTTTGTCTTGATGAGATCTTTGTTGAGTTCATCCACCGTCCTCTTCTCTTCCTGGAGCAATCTCTGCATGTCATCGAAGGATGCGGCCCGCTCCATCTAGTATAGATCGTTAATGATCAATACTACATAATTGAAACTTGACAAATTGAGCGGAGCATTTTATAAGATAATATGAAATCGTGAAAATCGTGAAAATAAATCGAAATTATTTACGACTACATATCACCTAATTTGTCAAGAGACGAATTCAAGTCAAGTTTTATTTTGATTTCATCATTTCTCCTCAGCTATACAGTGTCATCGACTCGAAACACCACCGCACGCTCTCCCCGGACCGTGCTCTCCTCCTTACAACACCGGCAAGATGTGCACATATTCCTGCATGGCAGGATACACGAAGATTGGAGGAGATAACAGGAGAATATGTGACGAGCATGGTGAATGGATTGGGATTCCCATACGCTGTGAACGGGGTTAGTTTTTCAATCCCTAATCATCGATACGCTTCAATCTTTGCAATCAGCATCTTGTGAGGGCAGGGGCGTAAATCCGTACCGAGGGGGGGGGGGGGGGGGGGGGGGGGGGGGGGGGAGATGATCGGCGATAGCCATCACATACTAGCAGGAGCACACGCCCACACTAATTTACGCAAGCGCGCGCGATCGCGCACGCACAAACACACAACACACACACACACACACACACGCACACACACACACGCTCGCTCATTAAGGGTGTGTGGGTGATAGGCAGCTTAGACGTTTCCTTAAATTATTAGTAAAAGAAGACGATTTATTGTCCCGTTCTCTACTGTTAACCCTTGTCTGAATGAATCCCCTCCCCCCTCCCGCGCAAAGCGCGAAAGCTTTGGCGTTTCTTTAAATTATTATAAAAGGAGACGATTTGCTGTACCGTTCTCGACTGTAAATCCTTGTCTGAATTCAGTTCCCCCCTCCCCCCCATACGCGCGGAATTTTTGGCGTTTCATTAAATTATAAAAGAAAGTAGACGATTTGTTAAACCGTGCTCGACTCTTAATCTTTGTCTGAATTCGGTTTACCCCTCCAGCGCAAAGCGCGGAAGTTTTGACGTTTCATTAAATTATTAGAGAAAGCAGACGATTGGGTGTACGGTTCTCGACTCTCAATTCTCGTCTGAATTCAGTTTCCCCTCCCGCGCGAAGCGCGAAAAGCCTTGACGTTTGATTTAATTATTATAGAAAGAAGACGATTCGTTGTACCGTTTTCGACTCTTAATAAGCCCTATTTATCTGAATTCAGTTTCCCCCTCTCGCGCGAAGCGCGGAAGCCTTGGCGTTTCCTTAAATTATTAGAGAAAGCAGACGATTGGGTGTACGGTTCTCGACTCTCAATTCTCGTCTGAATTCAGTTTCCCCTCCCGCGCGAAGCGCGAAAAGCCTTGACGTTTGATTTAATTATTTTAGAAAGAAGACGATTCGTTGCGCAGTTTTCGACTCTTAATGAGCCCTATTTATCTGAATTCAGTTTCCCCCTCTCGCGCGAAGCGCGGAAGCCTTGACGTTTCCTTAAATTATAAGAGAAAGCGGACGATTGGGTGTACTGTTCTCGACTCTCAATTCTCGTCTGAATTCAGTTTCCCCTCCCGCGCGAAGCGCGAAAAGCTTAGACGTTTGATTTAATTATTATAGAAAGAAGACGATTCGTTGCACCGTTTTCGACTCTTAATAAGCTCTATTTATCTGAATTCAGTTTCCCCTTCTCGCGCGAAGCGCGGAAGCCTTGACGTTTCCTTAAACTATTAGAGAGAGCAGACGATTAAGTGTACTATTTTCGACTTTAAATCCTTGTCTGAATTCGGTTTACCCCTCCCGCGCAAAGCGCGGAAGTTTTGACGTTTCATTAAATTATTAGAGAAAGCAGACGATTGGGTGTACTGTTCTCGACTCTTAATTCCCGTCTGAATTCAGTTTCCCTTTCCTGCGCAAAGCGCGAAAAGCTTAGACGTTTGATTTAATTATTATAGGAAGAAGACGATTCGTTGCTTTTTCGACCCTTAATAAGCCCTATTTATCTGAATTCAGTTTCCCCCTCTCGCGCGAAGCGCGGAAGCCTTGACATTTCCGTAAACTATTAGAGAAAGCAGACAATTGAGTGTACTGTTTTCGACTCTTAATTCTCGTCTGAATTCAGTTTCCCCTTCCCGCGCGAAGCGTGATAAGGTTAGACGTTTGATTTAATTATTATAGAAAGAAGACGATTCGTTGCACCGTTTTCGACTCTTAATATGCCCTATTCATCTGAATTAAGTTTCCCCCTCTCGCGTGTAGGCTATACATATACAAAATAACTCATTTCTCATGCATTATGCTGCAATTGAAACAATCACATTTTTTTCTTCTTCTTCTTCCTTTTTTTCCTCTCTTTTTTTGGTAATATCAAGGGTGGGGTGATTGTACAGGCCATCCCCCCTACTTCAAACCAGGGGGGATGCAGCCCCCCCCCATCCCCCGGGATTTACGCCCCTGTGTGAGGGACACTGTCAAAAGCTTTTTAAAAAATCTAGGTAAAGGCAGTCAAATGGTATTGAAAGGTCTTCAAGTTGTTACCTTCTCCCTGAGAGCATTTTCTTTCCCTTTCCTACTTTCATCGGCCTCTCTTTTTGTCTTGATGAGATCTTTGTTGAGTTCATCCACCGTCCTCTTCTCTTCCTGGATAATTGAAACTTGACAAATTGAGCGGAGCATTTTATAAGATAATATGAAATCGTGAAAATCGTGAAAATAAATGTAAATTATTTACGACTACATATCACCTAATTTGTCAAGAGACGAATTCAAGTCTAGTTTTATTTTGATTTCATCATTTCTCCTCAGCTATACAGTGTCATCGACTCGAAACACCACCGCACGCTCTCCCCGGACCGTGCTCTCCTCCTTACAACACCGGCAAGATGTGCACATATTCCTGCATGGCAGGATACACGAAGATTGGAGGAGATAACAGGAGAATATGTGACGAGCATGGTGAATGGATTGGGATTCCCATACGCTGTGAACGGGGTTAGTTTTTCAATCCCTAATCATAGATAGCGACCTCAATTTCAAAGATATACCTGACGATTTGCATACAGTGACAATGTGAACTTTTGGCAAGCCATACCAAAACAAAGAGAATTGTATTAATTACTTGTCTGATTTCTCTTTCACAGCTTCGCGGTTAATATGTGACATCTTTTAATATGTCATACCTTAAATGATACATTGACATTAAAAATAACGCAACGTCTTGGATTTCTAAAGATTTGGCTGAAGGAAAAATGTTTTTGGCTACAAAAAGAATCAAAATTTCGTTTCTGATAATCTATCATCTGCAGATTCTGGGACTCGAACCGCTTCATCTTGTAATCCCGACCTGGCTTTCCTTGATCCGTTGTAAAGTTCAAGTATTAAAATGCATTAATGGCTAAGACAAGGAATCATATTTGCATGATTGTGATATTTTTTAACATCTTTTATCAACACTTTTAATGATCTATCCTCTGCAGATGCTAGGAATCAAACCGTTCCATTTTGTAATCCCGATCTGGTTTTCCTTGAAGAACCTCAGAATTTAGAAGTAGCTGAAGGAGATCTATTCCAGCCGGGGTGCCGGGTCAGCGACCAAGATGTAACCCTGACATGGCTCAAAGACGGGCAAAGGTTGGATTCAGGTGGGGACATCATCAAAAACCGATTAAAAAAACAATTCAGGTTTAGTTACATGGTACAAAAGGGTTATTTTGACTTTTCACCCGGAGATTTCTTTAAAAAGGGTTTTTTTTTCTTTTTTCTCTCATCTCTTTGGACTCCTGAGAAATTATTCCGAATTTAGGGGGGGGGGTACATTGAGCATTTTCCTGATGTAGGGGAGTCTCCGAGGCAGGAAAAGCCCGCGAAAAGCCCGCGAAAAGCCCGCGAAAAGCCCGCGAAAAGGGGGTTCGGAAATGTTGGCAGTCCTCAGATAGGGGGGTGCTTTCAAAAAGAGGGAACGAGCATATGCGTACCCTAAATAACAATTTGGGCTTTCACTGGTCTGCTTCTCTCCCTCTCTCTCTCTCTCTCTCTCTCTCTATTGTGGGGGTGTTTTTCCTTTTCGTTCTCGAATATTCAAACTTACGAAACAGTGTTTGCAATAATATTTTCGTTCGATTTATTTGTATCTAGTTAATTTAATCGAAATATACAGTGCAAAATGTTACTATTCACTGATTCAATGCATGATTTTACTTTTAGTTTTGATATCAAAATAGCAAACAAAAAGTAAATCTTCGGCTCTCCTCATAAGTCGATAAGAGCCTTGTATTGTCCATGACACTTACGGTCTTCTCATGGGAAGCCGATCAATAAACCAAAACAAATCTAATAGTAAAATCATGCATTGAATCAGTGAATAGTAACATTTTGCATTGTATATTTCGATTAAATTAACTAGATACAAATAAATCGAACGAAAATATTATTGCAAACACTATTTCGTAAGTTTAAATATTCGAGAACGAAGAGGAAAGACACCCCCACAATAGTGAGGGAGGGAGAGAGAGAGAGAGAGAGAGAGAGAGAGAAAGAGAGGGGAGCAGACCAGTGAAAGCCCGAGAAAAATTCAACAAGGGGCAAGAAATATTGTAACAATAATAGTCTCAGATAATTTTACAACGACAATAAATTCCTATGTACACATACACACTTTCCACACACATTCACAAAATATGAAGAGGTTTCGTCGTCTAGTGCAGCGTTTTTATAAATTCTCTAGGGGTGCCGGGTGGAAAATTAATTATAGACAGGCACGTAGCCAGAGTTTGATGTTTGGGGGCACATATATGTAATCGATCGAGGTAAAAAAGGGGTCTAAAAAAGTTCAATCGATCTTTAAAATTTAGGGGGGCACGTGCCCCCCCCCCCCCCCCCCCCCCCCGTGGCTACGTGCCTGATTATAGACGCTTTTTTTTTTATCCGTTTTGAAATTAACGTCAATCTTTTGGAAACAAGATATTACAAACCGCTATGTATTTTCATGAAGGAATCACATTTTAAAGACAATTAAATGTCTTTCTAGGTAGTGAGAGTCAGTATGGAGTCCGTTTGGCGGCGTGAGTAGGTACTATGTGTTTATCTTGCGTCCCTGCCAATCTGGTAAAGGTGTTACATAGCGATACATTTTCAAAGTAATTCGAGACCATAAAAACATAACATAACATGGTTGGTTTCTATCAAATTCGCCCTAAGGTGCTGTGAACGGTATCTTCGTCAACCAATACAACCAACTAATCATTCCAAGCTTCGATGAACGACACGCAGGAAACTACTCATGCGTTGTATACTCTGGGGACAGGGAATTATGCATAAGATCAGAGGCCAGTATAAGTAAGTTCCTTCTTTTCAAATATCGTTCCTGGTAGAATAGATTGCCTTATAATGATAAAGTATCAGGTTGGTTTATTTGTCAATACTAAGAGTTAAGTTTATTGTTCAAACAAACAAAACGAAGTCAATTGTATGAATTGTCTCATTTCTACCTCCTTCGCACAAGCGCAATGTAAAGGGCAAATGGAGAGCCACTACCCCAAAACGTCCAATTAGGAAAACGAATTATCACAGCTACTTTTATATGATACATATTAAAATCATACAATTTTATAAATCAAAATGATAACGTCTGTCGGAATAACAAACAGGGTCGGGAAAAGATTTTCTTGCTGAATTACATGGATCATCATCGGTTTTGCATGGACATTTCCGAACCCCCTCCCCACGCCAATGTTTAGATACACTGTTCCTACATTTAATTCCTTCATTGCCTTAATTTGCATTGCTGACAGCTTTCGACCCCCGAAGCTACTTCGAGTTCGTTCCCGTGAATGCGTATGTCAATATCAGTGACGGTCATCAGTTCCAGTGCTCCCCCAAAGAAAACACATGGAGTGTCATCTGGGAGAAGGATGGGCAACCGCTGGAACAAGGAAACCTGCTCATCGTGAGTTACTAATTTTCTAAATTAAGGGCAGTTGCCCACTGGGGTCCCCAGACAAAAACTCATGAAATATATTAACTCATTTATTAAGCAGAAACGGATAGGTCATTGAATATACACATTTCGATGATGGTGATGCAGATGAGGATGGTGGTGATGATGATGAAGATGATGATGATGATGATGATGATGATGATGATAATGATGATGATGATGATGATGATGACGATGGTGATAATGATTCGAATGAAAGAAGAGATGACATGGTAAAGAATGAAGAGTTGACACAGAAATTCTACCTTGAGTATTCTGATAATAACATCGTTTTAACTTTAGCCTTAAATGAGTAGAGGATGCAACATGATTTAATAGATTCTGGGAGAGAGTTCCATAGGTCAGGACCATGGTCTTATGGATCTATGGGCAATAAGTAATTTCGGGTTGACTAGATGAAAATTGATGAAAAAAAGGCAGCATACTATTTAAATACTTAAACATGATCAGTAAACTTTGTAGCGAATTTATATCGCATACTGTTTGGGTTTTCAGTTGGTAAAATATTGGACTTGTGTGAGATAAATATGGTGAACCAGTACATATGCGAAGGGCTTTCTTTTGCTATAATTATAAATAGAGTTGATGTTGGTTTTGGCGCTGGTGGCCCATACTAAATTGAAATATGTTATACACGGTAATATCAATGAATTATAAAGCATAACAAGCGTATACAATTTTCGAACTGGGATCAATGTTATGAACTTGCTATCGTATGGAAGAATACAAGAATGTTGAAATATATTAGCTAATGAAAAAGACTGAAAAAATGTCATTTTTCAATTTGTTCTCATTATTCAAAGAAAAGTTATTCCGGTTTATTCTTCATGAGCCAAATTTATTGATGAAAATTGCTTTAGTAAATGATTCATTTCTTACTTTTCCTGTGTTGAGACCCTTTTCAAAGGAATAACGCAATATATAGGAACTCTTATATTATTGCTCTTATTATTTGTTTATTGAGGAAAAGGCCACGTTCTCACAGCTGAAATCTTTTGTTAACCCATGATTCTGCATAAACAGTGACTTTCGATTGATCGGTCAGAGAGATGGACGTATTTGGAGGATATTGGATGTTCCCCGTTAACGAGAAAAGCTCCGGACATTTGTGAACAAACGTTACGTTTGAAAATGAGAGGAAAAAATGTTCAAGCCCGTCCTAATTTTTCGGCCGTCAAGAAGAACTAAATAATTTCTGATGTGTATTGCGTTTACGATAAAATAAAATAATTTTTATGAATTAAACAATATATTCCGAGGATGTGAATAATAATATATATATATATATATATAAATAAAATTAATTTAAGTAAACTTGGGCCCCTGATCTTCTCATGAATTCAATAAGGCTTATATATAAGATGTATTCCCATACATTCAAGTGGTTCTATTTATTTGTTTCTTTTATCTTGCAGGTTGGAGGAAACTTATATCTGACAGATATAAGGGATGAAAATGTAGGAAAGTACACTTGCGTTGCTCGTGACCAGTTCAAGCGAACCAAGGGTCGAGTACATGCCTGGCTTTATTTGACTGATCCACCTCAGGTTGACATTACTTCAGGTAGAGCTTAGGATCAAAGCCTTTGAGACCGTATCCGGACACTTACCCCCTTGACATCCACCCCACGGATAACCAGCCCCAGTCAACTGCCCCCAGACAACTACCCCCTAGGACAATTACCCCCTAGGACAACTGCTCCCCGGACAACTACCCCCAGACAACTACCCCTAGGACAACTACCCCCTAGGACAACTGCTCCCCGGACAACTACCCCCTAGGACAACTACCCCCGGACAAATACAACTAGGATAGTTGTCGAGGGGGTAGTTGTCGTAGAGGATGGTTGTCGTAGGGGTAGTTGTATTTGGGTACTTGTCCGGGTGGCAGTTGTCCGGGGGTAGTTGTCCTAGGGGGTTGTTGTCCGGGGGTTAGTTATCCGGGGGTAGTTGTTCCAGGGGGTAGTTGTCCTAGAGGGTGGTTGGCTAGGGGGTAGTTGTCCTAGAGGGTAGTTGTCTTAGGGGGCAGTTGACTGGGGGTGGTTATCCGGGGGGGGGGGGTGGATGTCCAGGGGGTAGGTGTCCCAGAACTGTTAGAGACATGTCGACGGTCGTCATTAATTGTCGTTGGAGTGATCTACTCATGTACTACGACAACCACTACTTCTACTACTACTACTACTACTACTACTACTACTACTACTACTATAGTAGTACTACTTAGTCGCGGACTGGGTATGGAGGGGGGGGATTACTCATCCCCAGCCCCCTGTTTGGCGGTTAAAAAAATAGGGAAAAGGGGAAAGGAGAGAGAAATGAAAAGAGAGAGAGAGAGAGAGAGGGGGGGGGTTGTTGAGTAAAAAGAAAAGGAAAAGAAAAAGAGTAAGGAGAAGAAAAAGAAAGCGCTACCCTAGGTAATCAGGTCGCCAACGTATAAATCGGTGGTGGGTCCAGATGGTGGCCGAATCGACTGTGCAATCCCCCCCCCCCCCCCCCTGGTAGCCTTACAAAAAAAGGAAAGAGAGAGCGTGGAAAAAATAAAAAAAAGGGAATGAAAGAAGAGAAAGAGCGAGGGAGGTAGAGAGAAAGAGAGAGAGAGAGCTAATTTTTGAAATGTTCAAAAGGACTGAAACGTTTCGAAAATGGGTCCAATAAGCATTTTGAGGATGCGCAAGCTTGGGTGTATAGAAGGCAGCACACGGACACCGCCATAATCTCCCGAAGGAAATTTAAAGCAGGGCTCCCACAGTCCCACTTAGCCGAGTTGTTGCGATCTGGCGCGAGCTTGAACTCACGTAAACTCGCGTGAACTCGCTCAAAATTTACTAAATTGTATGGTATTTGCATGAATTAACATACGACGCATTATCGAGTTTCCTACGATGGATGTACGAGTGAACCGAGCGCATTACGAGTCACGCGAGTTCGGCATAAGTTGCGATGACTTGTGTACGACTTGTACCGATCAACCAACGAGTTATTAAGATCTTCTAACGAGTGATAAGAGTTTTCAACAATTCATATGCGATCAAGGGGCGGGAAATGCATCATTTTGGCCAGGGGCGGAGTTGGAGGGGGAGGGGGCACCAAGAAAAAAGGGCACCTTCAAAAAGAAATTTCAAAGCGAAAATAAACAATGTTTTAGACGTTGGTATATACCCTTAAATTGCGATCACATTATCAGGGATGATTTCAATATTTGTTTCACTTTGTACACAGTACAAGATATTGTTTAAGCATCATAATTTGCAGTTGAGTGTGATGGTCCTCTAATTTATTTGCGACTGAGCGAACGGGGCGAGGACATTTTTAAAGATTTGTGAGGACGTAGTTCGAAAAATTAAATCTGATGAAGAGCAAAAAAAACATCCTGATTTTGTTTATAACGGAAGACTGAAAAGGCTTTGATAAGTAACATAATCATTTATAAATGCGAACGAGCTTTAGAAGGAGGTGCTGTTAATCGCTTGAAATTAGGGGCGCGTTTAATGATGATAGGAAAAGGGGACACTCATCAGAAAAGTAAAGGAGCTCGTTTCAAAGTACAAAAAGTAATTATCAGAGTTGAAAATGGGGCACTTCTTACACCTTCTTAAAGAGGCACTCACCAGGGATGAAAAGGGGCACTTATGAAAATAGGAAACGGGCATTTTTCGACGGAAAAGGGGCTCTTATCTGATTTTGATAGGGGCATTTATAAGAGGTGAAAAGGGGCATTTATTAAAAAGGGATAGGTCCCTTATTAGAAAGGAAAAAGAGAACATGTGAAAATATAAGGTGCGCGTATCCGAGTTAAAAAGTGGGTAGTTACTAACAGGGAAAGGGGCACTTCTTACAAAGGAAAAGGGGCAATTTTCAAAATAAAAGAGGCACATCTCAGATTTGAATAAGGAAAATCATCAGAGGTAAAGTGGGCACTTGTTGCAAAGGAAAATGGGAAATTGTCGAAGGAAAAGGGGCACTTGTCAAAAAAGAGGCACTTATGAGAGGTGAAAAGAGGTAGGGGCACTTCTACAAATTAATAGGGGCACTTTTCAAAGATAAAGGGGCACTTTCCTATGTAAAAAGGGCCGGGCACATTACGAGTACTTGAAAAAGTGGGGGCACTTTACCCCCTGCCCCCTCCCTGCTTCCCTGCTTCCCTGCCTCCCGGAGAGGGCTGCCTCTGATATTGGCGTTCTCCAAAATAAAGATGGATGCCAGAAGCATATAAAATAAAGATGGATGCCAGAAGCATATTTGCTCGATATGTTGGAGGAAGAACGGGTCTTGATCCTCTGCACAACTGTAGGCCAGCTGACGTATCATTGTGCGCTCGTCATGCTCGTTATGCTCGCCCTGCACTCTGCTCATGCTCATACGAAACTCGCCTGAAGTCCCCGTACTCTGTCTTAACTCGCGTTCAGATCGTAGGCAACTCGGCATGACTCGCAATACTACCGTCGTGCTCATACTCAACTCTTGGAAACTCGCGAATAGCACTCGCGTATACTTGAAAGTGGCGAGTTGCTACGAGTTATGCAGAGTGCAGTGCAAGCATGTTACGAGTAATGCGGGTACATTACGAGTGTAAAAGAGTTCACCTCGAGTTGCAACGAGTCAGTGAAAATTTTGAACATGTTCACAATTTGTGAACTGCTCGCGACTTCGAGGAGAGCCGTAAATTATTAGGGGCTTTTCGTTTGTTTGGACGAGGACGGCGTTCCCGTCCTCTAACGATGCGAATTGGCGTCAGACACCCGTCCTGTTCACTACCTTATAACCCTTTTCGTTTTTAGTCGACACCCGTTCTCTTCACGATGACGTAATGACCTCCGCACGCGCTTATTCAATTTCTCCTTCTTCCACTTCTTATTTTATTCTTCGTTTATTATTCTATTATACTCTCTCTATTGATATTCTTTGTTTTTCCTTCTTTCACCTTCTCTTTCTCTCTTTCCTTATGTTATTCTCTGTTTTTTCCTTCTTTCACCTTCTCTTTCTGTCTTTCATTATGTTATTTTTTGTTTTTTCCTTCTTTCACCTTCTCTTTCTGTCTTTCCTTATGTTATTCTTTGTTTTTTCCTTCTTTCACTTTCTCTTTCTGTCTTTCCTTATGTTATTCTTTGTTTTTTCCCTTCTTTCACCTTCTCTTTCTGTCTTTCCTTATGTTATTCTTTGTTTCTTCCTTCTTTCATCTTCTCTTATGTTATTCTTTGTTTTTATTATTCTATCACTTTCTCTTTCTGTCTTTCCTTATTTTATTCTTAGTTTTTTCCTTCTATCATCTTCTCTTTCTGTCTTTCTTTATGTTATTCTTAGTTTTTCCTTCTATCATCTTCTCTTAAGTTATACTTTGTTTTTATCACTCTATCAATTTCTCTTTTTGTATTTCCTTATGTTATTCTTTGTTTCTTCCTTCTTTTATCTTTTCTTATGTAATTCTTTGTTTTTATCATTATATCACTTTCTCTTTCTGTCTTTCCTTATGTTATTCTTTGTTTCTTCCTTCTATATCACCTTTTCTGCCCCAAACGGTCATCATCCACGTCATCATCCACGTCGGATCAAACAATATGGCGATGAATGACTCAACAACAATAGAGAAAAAAGTGGAGTCACTGGCCCTTCAAATCCTAGGTGAATGCTCTTCCGTGAATGCGATTACGATTAGCTCCATCATCAAAAGGAGAGCGTATCAAAGTGACCTCCTCAACAAATTGAATGACACCAACAGTCGACTAAAATCAATGGCCCTATCCCACGGATGGGACTTCATCAACAACGACTCTATCGAGCCAATTCAACATCTATGCAATGATGGCATACATCTCAGTCCTGAAGGGGTTAATGTATTCGCCCAGAATCTTATCCACCACATCAACTCAGAGCGAGATAGTTGATTACAGAGAGATGATCAAAACGATAAACCTGTATTCTCCATCTCAAATGATGTTCAACAAATACATGTTGATCGGAGGACTTTATCCTCCACCTACGCCACTCGCCACCCTTTCCCACTTAACCCGCAACCTTTCTCCATGGCAATGCAGAATCCGCATCAGCAAACTGCGTCATATGTGTCTGAAGGACCGCAACTGCAACCTCCTACAATGAGCTATGCGCATGCTGTTTCTTCCCCTCGCTACACAGGATGTTTTTACTGTGGTGAAACAAATCACAAGCACATACACTGCCGCTTTGGAGAAAAGATTAGGTGCTACCTCTGCCATGGGTGTCGATCCCGGGGGGATGGGGGGGGGGGGGGGATATATCCCCCCAATATTTCAGGTGGGGGGGGGGATGGCCTGTACAATCATCCCCCCCCCCCAATAATTCACCATCAAAAAAAAAAATGAAGAGAAAAATGAATGATGAGAGCCCGATGAGAGTAGTTAATGGTTATTACTCGCAAGATGACCATCAATATACACATTTTGCTTTCTCATTTTCATAATACATACATATATACGAAGTAAATAAGACAACCGTATATGAGACAAGAATAAATTGAATTCTCGCTCATACGGCTTCATCAGGAATTGATGAATTTATTTAATTTGTTCAATCAACAGCATC